CATTGAAACGTCTGTACTTAACTTGGAGAAGAGAAATCAAAGCCTAAAGGCATGAAGGTGGGGGAGCATGGAGAATTTCAAGGGTTACTTTCTTCACCCCACCACATCACCCCCTTGGCCTTGTGGAATCTACAAAGACCAGATCTTTATGGACAAGCACTGAAAGCCATTAACGAGCAGAGAAAGAGTCAGGAGATTGTGGGGTTTCTCCTGTAGCTATGAACTCTGCTTCATCTTCCAACCTGTCCCAGCCCATGGAGGCTGGGGTCCTAGGGAACTCATAGACTTCTGAAGCCCCAGGCTAGACGGACCCTGAGCAGTGATCTGGGGTGTGTGCTCATGTCTACCTAGCCTTAAGGAGCCTAGACCATGGTTCCAGGACACACTGCTCCTGTGCTTGGGTACTTCCTAACACCATCTGTCCTGGGCCTCCAGGGAAGACCCCCATGCTTTCCTCCCTGGGAGGCTCCAAAATCACTTTCAGATGCCAGAGTGACTGTAGTCACATCTGCCTTCCTGGTGAGTGCTAGAGGCCTTACACTTCTCTCTAGACTGCAAATGTGGCAATTCCGAATGGAGTTCCTTCTGACGTTCACAGTTTATTAAAAGAAACCCCAGGCTCTGGCAGACTGGCAGCCAGCACGGTAAATCACAGAGCATCCGCATTTCTGATGTGCTTCAAGCACTCTTGCGACTACCAGGAAATGCCATTCACAAAGGGCTCTGAGGTTGCACAGAGCCTCATTGCGACAGCTCCACTCCAGCAGCTGGGAGGCGCCACCCTTCCCTCTCCAGGAACTCACATTCCAGAGGATCCAAGCACTTCACCCATCCCGGAATTCCCCCAGGAAGTGAAACTGGGGTTGAATTTTAAAGCATAACCTGGGAGGCAGGGGAGGTGGGAGAAGGAAAGTATGGTGGGGAGGGCTGGAGTGGGGAACAGAAATAACATCGGAGTGCTGGGTCTATGCTCTACACATATGTGGAACAGAAAGCTCTGTCTCAAGTCTCAGGCAGCTCACTCTTAGCAGAGAGGCACACACCATGACCACATAAGGCAGAATAGCAATGCTAGGTAGACCAAAGTGCTTAACTGCATAACTCTGGTTATCCATTGTGGCGTGGGTGACCCTCGAAATAACACTGACTATTCCTATTATTCTTAAGTGCCTGACTCTGTCAGGCACTGTCTGAAATAGTCCACCTGCAGGCCAAAACACGATCAGGTCAGCAGGCCAAAAGGGAGAGAATCCGTGCTCAGTGTGGCTGCCTCTGTTTACCCAATGGTGATGAAAGCATCCTCCAGCACAGGCATCTTTCCCGCCAGATGTGGCTGCTGCTAGAAAACACAGGAGTGGCCCTGTCTCCTGGGCACCCCGGGCCTCACAATTTCACTCTGCATGTTCAGTCTCTTTAGTAGTCAATGAGAACAGGAAAGCCGAAGGAAGCTTCAGGGAAATGCTGCGTGATTACCATCTCTGACTTCACACAGCATTTCCCGTGGTAACGAGGATGTGGAATGTCTCCCAAAGGCCCATACACGAAGGCACAGTCTCCAGCCCTGGTACTACGGGCAGGAGATGCAGGCCTCTAAGAGGCAGGAACTGGTGAGAGGTCTTCAGATTAGTAGAAGTGTCTCCCTAAAGGCAATGATGGAAACTTGGCTGTTTTTTTTTTCTCTCAAGACAAAGACAGTTTTGCTCCACCAGGCATCCTGCCATGATGTGCTACCCCCATACCAAGCCAGCAGAGCCAATTGACCATGCGCTGAAACTTCTAACACTGTGAGAAATAATTTTTTTTCTCTTTATGAGTTGGTTATCGCTGGTATTTGATAAAGTCATGGAAAGCTAACAAAGTTATACACACACAGTCAAGTGTTGGTCTTTTCAACCATAATAAGAAACTAAGCCAATACATCTTTTCTATAGGCACTAATTAAGGGCTTCCAGGATGCCCAGGGATGAGGTTCCTTTGGAAGGGCAAGAAACTCAGCCTAGGGCACTCTGGTGTCTGACTTTGGAAGTAAAAGACAGTTTCTAGCTCCCATGAAACCTGAACTTAGCTGAAAGGAATTCTTTGATAATGAAATTAAAGTTTTCCTTTGAATTTTAAGGGGCTTTCCTTAGCTTTCGGCAAAAGCCCATATTACTGTGAAATAGAATGTACATGGAAGATTATGCAAAGCATAAATTCACAGCACAATGACCACTATGAAACAAGCGTCCAGGTGCCCATGTGTGCCTGGTACCTGTGGAGGTCAGAAGCAGGCATCAGATCTCCCGGGATTGGAGTTATAGACAGTTCCATGCTGCCATATGGGGGCAGGGAATGGAACTTGGTTCGTCTACAAGAGCAGCCAGTGTTCTTAACCGATGAGCCATTCCTTTAAGTTTTGAAGCAGAGTGAATAAAGTGACATAAACAATGGGTTTTCAAGCACTGGAATTATTCTGCCAGAGTAGCCCAGCCTTCTTTGTCTCTCACACCAACGTCTAACGCCTTCAAAGAGACAAACGTGCTCCTGAAACAAATGCTTTCAATTTCAGTGAAAAAAGTAGACTTCTCTTCAAAGGCTATACTACAATGACGGACAGACAGACAGACAGACAGACAGATGATAGACAGTGATGGATGTTTCAGATCTTACAAGATTCATTAACATTCTACCATTCAATGGAATACACATCACTTTTTAATGAAGGTCTGAGGACATTATCATTATAAGGTAATAAATTGGAGAACAGTTCCAAATAGAAAGTGAAGGCACAAGAAAGAAAGTTCTAGTTTCTCTACTAACACACTGTACTAACTCAGCTGCAGCCTCCTGTTGTCTCTCCTTGTGTGGTAACAAGGCACCTTGTCACCAGAAGACTTTGGTGTCTGTTAACTGAATACGTTTTTGCATGAATAAGCCCAGAAAGCAAGCAAGCAAGCAAACAAACAAATACTCTTGCTTGTTAGTTCTGACACTTACATATGGCTTTTTAATATTTAAAATATGAAGAAGAGTGAATTCATAATTCTAAAAAAGCAGCATAGTGCACAGCTCAGAATTACAGAGATGCTTGCTGAGATATCACATTTGTTTCCTCTCTCTTTCCCTCCCTCCCTCTCTCTCTCCATCTCCCCCCCACACACACACTTTTATTACTCCTAGATGATATGAGCTTCCATTTCCAGGCAAAATTCAGAAAATGTTATAAGCTCTCTGGAAGATAAATTAAAAATTAAAATCAAGAAATGGAAAAGGTTCTGCTGTGTTTCTTTCCTGCTTTGGGGTGACTCCAGGAAGAACAAGAGGCTCAAGGCAGAGCCTTGCTTTCTGCATGGAGCCACCTAGTGCTCAGGACTATGAACTTGTTTTCCTTCAGCCACAGGTTGAAAGAGAAAATTCCAAAATCGCAAACAGACTTGACAAGTCATTATTTATGTTTACAGGAGAGTGCAAATGTCAACTGAAGAAGAGTCCTCAGATAGATTTTATTTCAGTGACTATTAGCCCCATTAATAATGGCATTATCTCTGCCTCTGCCCAGAAACCAGCTGCAAAGGAGTCTGAATTCCAGAGGGGAAACACCAGCCAGCTCTGCCCACAGCTGCCCATGGGATTCTAGGCACCCATATGAATTAATCCTGACTGCAGCCAAGAAGCATCTACAGGGGAAGCTGGCAGCAGACTTTTGAGGGTCACTGGGTTCCACAGAAGCAGGTTTGAAGGATGTTAAGTTACTTGTTCAAGTTAAGATGGGTACAGACTGTAGTCTAGCTTTTTGTTCTCTTTGAACTAGGATTTTCATTTACTCTGTGTAATTTATACATTCAACTATAAATCAGACATGGTGACAGTTCATTCCTACCTTGCAAAGGTCCCGGGTGAGAGACACAGGTACCTCTGTGATTTTAGGAAAAGGAAGGAGCTGTGAGAAGAGGATTGATGTGGCCCAGAGAGAGACAGCTGGATCCCACATCAATCCAAGGAGCTTGGTCCAGTGAGAATCCACAGAGCTGGGAACTCTCACTTGGGGCCCTAGTGTCCTGCTTCCTGGCATGAGGGTCCACAGATGGACAGCTTCAGTCGTTTGTCAACAAGTAAAGCCATGGATGTTCCGGGTTGTTTAGGGGAGTGAGAGAGGGCGGGAATTGAACCAGGTAATCTTTGAGGGCTCTTGATCAGAAGACTGCTGAGGTGCCACACATCCTTTCCTCGGAATCTTACACCAATAGAAAGAATCATCTCCATAACTCTAGGTAAACCAAGTCTAGCCTAGATGCTTAGTGTGAGTTAATGATCATATACAGTTTTATCAAGAGAGGAGTTAAAAGGAGGCAGAGACCATGAGAAGTGTAAGAGCTGATGTGGAAAGTGTCTGAGTGTGGTGTGTGTGTGTGTGAATGTGTGTATGAGTGTGTATGTGAGTGTCTGTGTCTCTGTGTATGCATGTGTGTGTCTGTTATGTATCTGGTACGTATGCATGTGTATATCTGTGTATCTGTGTGTCTGTGTATGTGTGTGTGTACCTCTCTCTCTCTCTCTCTTTATGTGTGTATGTGTGTATGTGTGAACGATTCTTCTCAGGAGTTAATTTACAAAAGAAATAGTTATGTTCTTGAACTTAGACAGAACCCTGACCCTGGTCAAAGAAGTTCAATGTTGGGCTGGAGAGATGGCTCGGTGGTTAAGGGCATTTGTTGTTCTTGCAGAAGATTCAAGTTTGGTTCCCAGTACCCATATCATAGCTCACAACTGTCCTTAACTCCAGTTCTAGGGGATCTCATTCCCTCTTATGACCTCTGTGGGCACCAGGCATGCACATGGTGCATAGGTATACACATAGGCATAACACTCAGACATAAAATAAAACAAAATAAAGTAAGTTTTAAAAAGGGGGAAATTTGATTTTTGGCAGTGCATACGTGACAGTATTTGGACACTGACTGAAAGACATCACATTGGCTCATGAAGGCACAGGACTAAAGCATAGGGAAGTTCTTAGGCACCTGTTTTGGTCAAAGGAATTGAGAACAGTTGCTGAAGGAGTTTGTTCTCGGACGTCCTCAGGACTACCACCACGTCAGCAGGGAGGGTGTCTCTGTTTTTCTCAAGAACCCCAGAAGCATCATATAACACCTAGAAGACAGACAGCAACATGTGCAAGTTAGTAGAGACAACTGACCATGGCTAGTGACACTGGTGGGCCGCCTGAGTAGCCATTGCCTGGCACTGGATATAAACTCCTGTCTGGTCACATGCAGCCTTTTGACGACTGAGCACCAGATAAAAGAGAGATGTTGTACTTTTGACAGGTCAATTTATCTTAGCTTCCTGTCCAGGTATCTTGGAAGAAAGGGGTCCTATGGAAGACATGGCATATTAGAAAAACTGTTAAAATGCCAAGCACTCGTTGTGTGTGAAACACTCATCCCCATTCTATTGATAGGCAAGTAGGAGCTTAACGAGGTCAGGCAGTCATCATACTGGGGCAAATAGGCTTTTAGCTCATGACCACCATGCCCTCACTGCCTCTCAAGGCATTCATGGAATCTGAGTGATCACTCAAAGGAGTCTAAGTGGGTTTTGGTTCTCAGCAGTGAGGGAATCCAACTTAGAGGTATTTGAAGGGATGTCCTACAAACCCCTGGAGTGGTATGGTGGTTTGAATGAGGATGCCCCACAGAGGATCATAAGCCTGAATGTTTGGTTCCCTGTTTGGGGAACTGTTTAGGAAGGATTAGGAGGCGTGATCTTGATGAAGGAGGTGTGTCACTGGGGGCTGGCTCTGAGGTTTTAAAAACCCAAGCCTAACCTCTCTCTCTCTCTGCCATGATGATCATTGATTGACTCACCCTCTGAAACTATAAGAAAGCCCCCAATTAAAATCTTTTTGTTAAAAGTTGGCTTGGTCATGGTTCCTCTTCATAGCAATAACAACCCTAACTAAGATCAGTGGTAAATAAATTCAGCAAAGAATTAACAAACCAGAGAGAAACAGATCCTAGAAAGGAGAAAAAGGAGAATGGAGAATGGGGTACAGAGTAGAAAATGTGTACAAGGGGACAAGACAGAAAGAGCAATGACAGGAAGAGAGGCTCAGAGGACACAGAAGGCAGCGTCCTCTCGATGAGGACAGAAATGTGGAAGATGATTCGGACACATTATGCATCAACAGAATAATTCCAAATGCCTTCCATTGACCCCACCCACTTTCAGGATCTCGAGCCTCAACATACCTCCTGGGAAATGGTCACAAAGTAATTGGGTTATCTGGGAGAGACTCAGCAGTGAGCTTCAGGACTTACATTTACATGGGAGCAGGATACATAAACCATGGGAGTGCCAGTCCAAGCGTTAAAAGCTTACCATCTGGATGAGTGAGATTGTGTTACTTCACTAGACATTTCTAGACTCGACAAAAGTGTTAAAAACAAAACAAAAAGCCCTACTGTGTTATCAACCATCCTATGTCGCCTACACTCCAAATGACTTCAGAATGAGAACATTTGCCCTGAAACCCTGCAAAGACTGTGGTATGTTTCCTGTCTAGAGAGCTGTCAGTTCTGGGCCAGCCCTCAGGACAGGAAGCAGGTTGTAGCTCTATATGTCACCACATCTATACAACAGCACCAGTGAGGACATTTGGGGACTGTAATTAGAATCAAAATAGGGGGAAGCCTGCAAGTAGTTTCCTGAGCATCCCCACGATGGGCAGGGCGGGGGACATAGGTGTTTTGTTGTTCTTAGGTCCTATAACTCCCGCCCCTCTTACCGGTCCAGCATAGTGCTGAATGCCGAAACAGAGTTCCACTCCTTTGGGCCTCCAGAAGAACTTGCACCGTAGGTTGTCTTCGAATTTATCTGTGTGCAGAGAAGAGACTGGCGTGCTCATCCCTAAGTGGGACCTCTCTCTCTCTCTCTCTCTCTCTCTCTCTCTCTCTCTCTCTCTCACACACACACACACACACACACACACACACACACACACATGCATACATGCATGTTCACACGCACACGATGCTGAAAAGGGAAGGTAGTGGTAGAAGGGAAGAAGGGAAGAACTGGAACAGGGAGGAATAGGGAGTGGATTTGGTCCAAACATCACATACGCGTGTATGAATAGTAAATAAAATATTTCAAAATTTTACTTATGCGGGTTTTTTATGTTGGAGAGAAACAATGGGAATTGTTTGCTCTTTCTGACAAAAATCTGCTCCTCCAGCCAGAGACACAGGATAGGACTTGCACCCCCAACCCCAAGCATCCCCACTCAGACGGATATGTCCTATCTTATTTTTCCTTTAGCTGTTAAGATGCCACATTCCTCTCCTGTCTCTAAGAAATTCTAAGTATGGACACCTAGAGCAATCTCAGACCCTGCCATGGAGCTCTGGAATATGCAGATAGGCTAGGAGGGCAGATAACCCCAGGATAACTTCATTTTGGGCAAAATCAGATAAGACAAAACCACTGGTGTTGACAACTTCAACACTCTGAAGTCTCCCATACATCCCTTTCCTTTTGAGGAAAGAGTTTGAAACTTTCTACTCACTCCCCCTACAAACAACTTTTGTTTTATTGTGAACATGACTGTGAGCTTAGCATGAGGAACCATACCAGGTACCAAAGGCAGGTTAAAAAACTGGGGCTCCAGGCCCTATGATATGTCACATATAGATAAAGAACAATGCTCATTTCAACCGAAGAGTCTAAAAAAGAAGGTCATGAGGGACAGGGGTCTGGATAGGGCAAGAGGGGGTGCGATAGAGAACTTGGATGTTGACCGACAAGATGGTTCAGCCAGTAAAGGCACTTGCCACTAAGTCTGATGACCCTGGTTCAAGCACAAGATAGAGGGAGAGGATCAACTCCTACAAGTGGCCCTCTGACTCCCCCCCTACACACAAGATAGATAGATGATAGATAGATAGATAGATAGATAGATAGATAGATAGATGGCACATAGGTAGGTAGGTAGGTAGATAGATAGATAGATAGATAGATAGATAGATAGATAGACAGACAGACAGACAGACAGACAGATAGATAGATAGGCAGGCAGACAGATAGATAGACAGATAGATAGATAGATAGGAAAAATAGAGGACTTTAGACGCTAGGAGGAGGCAGATATCTCTAGTCTATCCAGGAAATACTAGCAAACTAAGAAAAGGTAGCTTTAGAAAAACTAAACCAGCAGCAATGTCTACAGAAGAGAGGACACTGTGAGTCTGGGAATACAGGGCCCCTGTGCTACCTGGGACTGGAGGTAGATAGGAGCCCGATGAAGACATGACAGAAGTTTGCAAAGACGGATCGCTTCTCAGCCTTTGGGCTAAGATAAAATGTAGAAGGGAAGTACAGACTATGAGAACTAAGGGAAAGGAAGGTCTAAGATGACATCCGCTAAGGAAATAACATTATGTATGCCAGCAGGAATAGGAGGATGCGGAGGATTGGGAGTGGTGATAGATTTGAGCCACTCGGCCTACCGGGACATTGCAATTCATTTAAAAACAGCTTTTAAATTTAAATTTGTATTTATGTGTATGTGTGTGTTCCTGCTTGTTCCTATGTACACTGTATGTGTGAGGTACCAGAAACCTCACCCCCGGCCTTGAGCAGAGTTAAACCTGGTTGTAAGCTGCCCAAGACGAGAGTTGGAAACTGAATTGTGTTTTCTTAACCCCTGTGCCATCCTCCAGCACATCGAAGTCCACCATTATAGACCTTTGTAGTCAAAACAGGAAAGAATGAAACATGTTCAACAATATACATGGAAGAATTTTGAAGCAAGAATTAAATAATTGGCCTGTCACCAAGGTCCACACTTCTACAACCCACCAAGTGTCTGAAGTAAGATGGGTAAACTCCTTAAAACTTGAAACATGTCTACCGAATACCTTGCACCGAGTTCCACTCCCAACATGTCTATCTTTTTTCCTAAAAAGTACATACCAACCAAGGTCTGATCTGTTCCTTGGGGAAATCGACTTTCCTCATCCAAAAGTGCCAGAAGGCCCAAGGGTTTTTGGAGGAACATGTCCAAGAGTGGGCGATTGTCTTCATACTGCACAAGGACAGCATCAATGCCTTCGTTCTTGTACTCCATCTGGAGGGAAACAGACCGGGACTCTCTGGCCTGAAACTGGCCTCAGTACCACCAGGGCACTTTAGCTTCGACTTTCTGGGTCTGGGCGTACTGATACATGTGAGTGGCTAGGGGTGTTTGGGCATATAGCAAAAGATCTATGCATCACAGTCTTAATAGTATGAACGCAGACTCTCAAATTTACCATTGAGCTGTGTGAAGAGTAGATTTTCATGTCTGGGGATTCAAGAATATCCGTTCCTCCACCCAGGGGACACCCCTTCATTACTGGGGATCAGAGGCAGAGACAATGGGAGCTGATGGAGGTAATTATGAGTTCTAAGAATCCCTGTCTTGGGCTCAGGCCACCTTGTGTCTTTTTGGACACCATTATAGACAATTGTGGTCAAAACAGGAGAGAATAAAACATGTTCAACAATATTCATGGAAGAATTTTGAAGCAAGAATTAAATAATTGGCCTGTCACCAGCTCCATGAAAGCGAGGGAATATACCTTTCCATAGAATTCGGGACCTTTGTTTCCCTCCCAGACTGTTTATTTTATTTAGACTATTTATTTTGACAGGACTATTTTGCCAGTGTTTTTTCTGTAGCCTTTTACCTGACAGTCTGACTAACCAGGTTTTTGCTTCAAATTGTGGGTAGCCTGGCTGTCTCTCCCAATCCCCCCATCCCCCCACCCCACCCTGTTACTTTAGCCTCAGAATCAACCACTACCTGCTCCAGAGCAAACACGTGCTGATTGAAGTAGTACTGGATCTGTTCATTGGCAATATTTATGCAGAGCTGTTCAAAGGAATTTCTCTGGAAATCCTCAAAGCCAAAAATGTCCAAGATGCCCACATTCATCCTGTCCCCTGCACTACTGTGAGAGAGAAAGAAAACAAATCAGAAACAAATCAGGAGAAGTCACACCCATCGCAAGACAAAAAGATGCCTCCTCGGGAAAATAGAATCTTTTAAAAATAGAATTCTTTAAAATCATACCTGTAAATCTCAGCACTTGGGAGGCTAAAACAGGATTGTCAGGAGTTTAAGGTTAGCCTTTGCTACAGAGCAAGATCAGGCCTCAAAAAATACATACATACATACATACATACATACATACATACACATTATATATTATACATATATAATATGTATATTCTGATATATATGTATGCATGCATTATGTATGCATGTATGTTCTGAGATACATATATACATATATACATATACATATATATACATATACATATACATATATATATCTCAGAACATAAATCTACTCAGAAGCTTCTATGCAGATCACACAAAGGGGTCTTGGCTTCTCCTACATATTCTCCCATCTACCTACCCCTGTAACCTGCTTCTAATGAGACTTCAGAATTTAACTGTGTGGATTAATACAGAAAAAGACTAAAGCCCGGGAGAGAGAAAGGAGTTACAATAACAGTAGCAAGAGAAAGCCTATGCTTTAAAGTTTTTCACAAAGTATATTAATTATTTCTAAAAATGCCCTGAGGAAGACGTGTTAACTTCGCTTTTACAGAGATGAAAATTGGCAGACGGCTCAGCTGATGATGCTGTAGACATCATGAACCTGGTTTATCCAGCTTACTGCTAAGCCTCCTCCTCCCTGCAATGGCTTTCAGTCATTCTCTCAGGAGTAAATGCTCCGACTCTCCTGGTTCCCACTGATGCTCTAAAATGAGAAAGAGGGAGGAGCCTAAAGAAGACCCAAGCTGACCTAAGGTTCTCTCTTGCAAACTCTTAAGAGACACCAGTAGGTGAGTGATCACTCCAGGCCACTGCTTCCAGGGGGAGGAGGGGGACTTGCCAAATGTTTTTATCCGGCTGCAGGAGCGTGTTGATTCGATTCACAATCCAGCTGAACAGCCTCCCATAGAGGGCCTTAGACATGGCGTCCCTGACATCTTCAGCCCTGTCCACTGTGTTGGCTCGGACAATGGTCTCTCCTCGTGTGACCACACAGTGGGACGTGAGGGCCTCTTGAAGCTCTTCAGAGCTGATGCAGAGCACACAGGCAGCTGGAACACAGAATGAGTATGATCCTAGACGTGTGGCCACCCCATCACACAGACCATGCAAACCAGCACTACAGCATCCACTGTGTGCCGGCTCTGTTCTTCAGGCTGTGCTTCACCGTCAAGACAAACAAGTAAGGTCCCTAACTCCAAGAAGCACCAAGGTTGGACAGCACAACTCCCAAACTGTTCTGAAAACTCTCTATCAGTATTTAATAAGAAAAGGTTTGGGGGGGGGGAGGTGTCTGACAAAAGAGAGGATGTGGTCTTTTATCAAACAAATTGCAAGAATAGACAGTCACAAACATGGGATAGTAAAGGCCCTAAATTATTGTTACAAATTAACACAAAAAGGCTTTTGGTTTGGTTTGGTTTGGTTTGGTGTTTGGTTTGGTTTGGTTTGGTTTGGTTTGGTTTTTGGTTTGGTTTGGTTTGGTTTGGTTTGGTTTGGTTTGGTTTGGTTTGGTTTTTGGTTTGGTTTGGTTTTTGGTTTGGTTT